TAAAAGGCAGGAAGGTGGGAAGTGGCATAAGTTTAATTTTTTAAGTATTAGAAAGGTTTGAATCAGTTTGAATCAGTTCAAATTAGTTTGAAAAATTAAATGATAAATCATCACTGAGTGACTTTAAAATGTGAAAAATCTAAATGTATATAAATCCTAAATACACCCCATAATGTCCTCAATGAGCTCAAATTTTAAAGCCCTGAATGGTTTCTGTAGGTCAAAGGTCATGTGAGGAGATAAGGGCTGAAGTTTTTTCAAGAGCTCTAGGAAAGGGTTTTAAGTGTCATCCCCAGTGCTATGTGTGCTGAGCCTGGCTTCATGTGTCTCATATGGCCATTAGAAGCAGCTTTCCAGTCAGCTGTGTGTCTCCAGGTGCACCAATTGGTTGCCATGGGGACCTTGGATGCATAACTATAGCAGGAGAAAGAAGGCTTGAAGCTAAGGAAACAGGACTCCAAGTAGGCCCTGACGCTCATCCTCTGTATCTATTCCTGATAAGGAGCTTGTGAGAACACAAGACTCTGCTGAACACATTAATACAATTTATTATCACAATCCTCAAAACACCCCATAATATCTTCAATGAGCTGAATTTTAGAAGCCCAGAATGGTTTCTGTTGCTCAAAGTTTGTGGGTGGAGATAGGTGGTGAAGCAGACACATATTAACTGTGTGTACAAGCAGCTGAACTGCAAGGTAGACCTCATAAAGCAACAAGTACAAGAATGTGTGTGTGTGTGTGTGTGTGTGTGTGTGTGTGTGTGTCTCGTTAATGACTGCATCCTAAACAGCTGTGAGATCAAAGGCAAATCACTGACCTACTGTTTGAATGAGAAGCAGCTGAACTGCAGAGGATTTAGAGGCTCTAAACTTCTTCACATAGCGTGATTTCCTTAAGTCACAGAATGAAAATAAGAACATCGTACGAATCCTCCGCCCTTCATGAACACAATGAAGTATTTTTCATGTCTGTACTCCGACAAATGTGGCCACAACAGCGAGTTAAAAAAGTCTGAGCCTGAGCGATGATCCGGACTTTCTTGGAGAAAATTAACATTACGGTCAATGGGAGAGATTTCCGCCTTCTTTGGACAGTTGGTCACCTGCTGGCCAAGGGGTACGATTTAATGATTTGAAACCTCTTTTGTGAGAAGCAGGACACATATACCTCCATTTTGATGTATTATTTGTGTCAGTGGAGTGAGATTTGTGGGCGTGGGAGCGATATATTCGAGCGAGGTTCTGTCGATCAGAGACGAGGTCTGCACTCTAGCTGATGACATCATCACTCTAAACTCTCCAATACACACCCATTATAAAGCTTGAAATTTGCTGAAAACCACAAGTTGCTTAAAGCTAAATTGTGGAAAAACTGTAGGAGATAGCACAAAAAAGTCAATACAGCATATTTGGAGGAGAAGATTGTGAACATTTTAAAGCAAAAATGAGGTCTGTAGGTGAAAGTACGCTGAAGTTATAAGGCTGAGAAGGTGGAGGAGTAAAAGGTAGAATTTGAAGATTTCCCCATTCATTTCAATGGGAAAATTTTTTGCACAAAAAGTCAAAAATATCAAAAAGTATAAGGGGTAGAAAAGTGAAAAATACATCCGCACTATTCCTGAAGGAGAGGAATAGTTTAAAAGTTGAACGGTTGAAATCGGACAAAGTATGAAGGAGTTGAAAAGTTGCAAAAAAGGTACGGAAGAATAATAATAACTAGAAAAATTGCATTTCCTTGCAGAAAATGCGTGGAAATGCTGAGTGCTGAAAGCTAACAAAGCAATGCTAAACTGCTAATAAAACATGGAGAAAGGTATAAATGTTAAAGCTGTTGAAGGAGTGAGAAAGAAATATAGGTTGGATAACTGTTAAATTGGATGAAGGACAAATAGTATGAATATGCTCTATAAAAGGAAATTTTATTCATGCTGAAAGAGGCTAGAAAAATGTCTAAAATTGCACAAAGTTTGAATGAAGAAGGAAACTGCCTTAAAAGGCAGGAAGGTGAGAAGTGGCATAAGTTTAAGTTGTAGTACTAGAAGTAGTATGATAAGAGGTCAAGTCGTGATACTAGTAGTCATGTCAGCAGTAGAAGTAGTTTGAGAATAAAAGAAGTATAAGTCACAATAGTAGAGAAAGTAGAAATAGGAGCAATAGCAGTTGAAGTAGAGGGGATAGTACTAGTTTAATTGACATTAGCGGTAGTTGTCGTACTTGAGGTAGGATTTTGTTTGAAGGATGGAGTAATGCATAAATATTAAAACTAATTTAAACCGGGGAAAATTTCAAAAGTCAAAAATCCTCAAGTATCAGAAAGTTTTGAAGTATTAGAAAGGTTTGAATCAGTTTGAATGAGTTTAAATTAGTTTGAAAAATTAAATGATAAATCATCACTGAGTGACTTTAAAATGTGAAAAATTTAAATGAAAATAAATCCTAAATACACCCCATAATGTCCTCAATGAGCTTAAATTTTAAAGCCCTGAATGGTTTCTGTAGGTCAAAGGTCATGTGAGGAGATAGGGGCTGAAGTTTTTTCAAGCGCTCTAGGAAAGGGTTTTAAGTGTCATCCCCAGTGCTATGTGTACTGAGCCTGGCTTCATGTGTCTCATATGGCCATTAGAAGCAGCTTTCCAGTCAGCTGTGTGTCTCCAGGTGCACAAATTGGTTGCCATGGGGACCTTGGATGCATAACTATAGCAGGAGAAAGAAGGCTTGAAGCTAAGGAAACAGGACTCCAAGTAGGCCCTGACGCTCATCCTCTGTATATATTCATGATAAGGAGCTTGTGAGAACACAAGACTCTGCTGAACACATTAATACAATTTATTATCACAATCCTCAAAACACCCCATAATATCTTCAATGAGCTGAATTTTTCAAGCCCAGAATGGTTTCTGTAGCTCAAAGTTTGTGGGTGGAGATAGGTGGTGAAGCAGACACATATTACCTGTGTGTACAAGCAGCTGAACTGCAAGGTAGACCTGACAATGCAACAAGTACAAGAATGTGTGTGTGTGTGTGTGTGTGTGTGTGTGTGTGTGTGTCTCGTTAATGATTGCATCCTGAACAGCTGTGAGATCAAAGGCAAATCACAGACCTACTGTTTGACTGAGAGGTGCTGAACTGCTGAGGATTTATAGCCTCTGAACTTCTTCACATAGCGTGATTTCCTTAAGTCCCAGAATGAAAATAAGAACATCGTACGAATCCTCCGGCCTTCATGAACACAATGATGTCTTTTTCATGTCTGTACTTCGAAAAATGAGGCCACAACAGCGAGTTAAAAAAGTCTGAGCCTGAGTGGGGATAAGGATTTTCTTGGAGAAGAAATACATTAGGTCTAATGGGGAGAGATTTCCGCCTATTTGGACAGTTGGTCACCTGCTGGCCAAGGGGTACGATTTAATGATTTGAAACCTCTTTTGTGAGAAGCAGGACACATATACCTCCATTTTGATGTATTATTTGTGTCAGTGGAGTGAGATTTGTGGGCGTGGGAGCGATATATTCGAGCGAGGTTCTGTCGATCAGAGACGAGGTCTGCACTCTAGCTGATGACATCATCACTCTAAACTCTCCAATACACACCCATTATAAAGCCTGAAATTTGCTGAAAACCACAAGTTGCTTAAAGCTAAATTGTGGAAAAACTGTACAAGATATCAAAAAACTGAGTACAACTTTAATAGTCGACAAGTGAATGAACATTTTAAAGCAAAAATGAGGTCTCTAGGTGAAAGTATGCTGAAGTTATAAGGTCTAGAAGGTGGAAGAATAAAAGGAAGAAGTGGAAGATTTCCCCATTGACTTCAATGTTAAAATTTTTGCACAAAAAGTTAAAAAAAACAAAAAGTATAAAAGGTAGAAAGGAAAAAAATACAAGCACACATGTCCTGAAGGAGTGGAATAGTTTAAAGTTTGAATGGTTGAAATCGGACAAAGTTTGAAGGAGGAGAAGCGTGACAAAAAACGGCGGAAGAATAAAAATAACTAGAAAAATTGCATTTCCTTGCAGAAAATGCGTGGAAATGCTGAGTGCTGAAAGCTGAAAAAGCAATGCTAAACTGCTGATAAAACATGGAGAAAGGTATAAATGTTAAAGCTGTTGAAAGGGTGAAAAAGAAAGTTGGATAAGTTGGATAATGGTTTAATGGTTGAAGGACAAATAGTATGAATATGCTCCTCAAATTGAAATTTTATTCATGCTGAAAGAGGCTGGAAAAATTTCTACAACTGCACAAAGTTTGACTGAAGAAGTAAATTACCTTAAAAGGCAGGTAAGTGAGAATTGGCATAAGTTTAAGTTGGAGTACTAGAAGTAGTATGATCATAGGTAGTTGTAGTAGTGATATTAGTAGTCATGTAAGCAGTAGAAGTAGTTTTAGAATAGAGGAAGTAGAAGTGAAAGTAGTTAATCTCGTGGTAGAAGTAATAGATGCAGTAAAAGTTAGAGACGCAGTAAAAATATATTTAAAGAAGCAAGAGTAGTGGAGGTAGATGTGAAGATCCAAGTTAAAGTCTCCACAAAGCCTGTGTAGCTCTGCATTGTGTTTTTCTTGGTGTTTGGGTTGCAGGGTGTCACACAGAGAGTGGGAGGATGACACACAGAGTGCGTAATTGTGATGGAGACTGGAGTGTACTTTTCTCCAACAGCTGCTGGTACACAAGTGTCATGGCAGTGAGAGAGATAATTGTCTGTATTAATATAAAGTGTGATAAAATAAAGATGAAGAAAAGAGTTTTGTGAAACAGACAGCAACACCTATGACTTTAAGTGTCAAAAGCCCACGGTTAAGGAGCCAGATACAAAGAAGCAGGTTTCTGTCTCTACTGAGGACAAGAAAAGACAGTTTTCACTGCCAACGCCGGGTCTCGAACACGCGATCGCTGCAGGAGAGTCGGCAGCTTTAGCGCTCAGCCACATACATGCTCCTTATTATCGGCGCACCGGCCGCATTTTTAAACTCACTAAAGTCTCCTGGGCTGAAAACCTCGATGCCGGTATGTATGCCGGGGACCATACCTCCACAACACACACAGATGATGTGTCCTTTTCGACACGTGAACAACAGCCAGGGAACACACAATCGGAGAGTCAGGGGCAGACAACAGTTTAGGAAACCACGAGACTCACAGACAGCCAGCTCGCTGTCAGGGACGGAAGGTGAGCTAGATTGTCACGGATCAGACCAACAGTCAGGGTCAGAGCACAAACGGCTCGAGCCTTACGATCAATCCAAGGGCATGGCGAGCAGGCAGGAACGGGAACAGACCAGGTCGACAACGGGAGATCAGTCCGGAAAAGAGTGCCAGAAGGGCTTGCATAATGCGAACACAATCAGACAACTGGTGTGTGTGTGGACAGAGGCGGGGCTTGCAAACCAAGCAATTGCCTGGGGCCCAGGCTTCCAGGGGGCCCCCCACTTGGGCATCCTCCCGAGTGACCGGGTGCCCCAAGTGCTAATAAATGTACTGCATGGCAACGACAACAACAGGCATTTACTATGAGAAAGCGACGTAGCAAACCCCCTTGGGGGCCCCCACGCCCCTTCTGCCTTCAGTATACATATCAAAAACGATTTTTTTCAGTGTACAGGGATGGGGTGGGGGCCCCACAAATTTCTTGCTTGGAACCCCAAAGGACCCTTGCCCCGCCTCTGTGTGTGGAGCTGGAGCTTAAATACTTGGGCTGATGGTCAGGGACGAGCTGCAGGTGTGGTGGAGAGCACAGGTGAGTGGAGTTTGGCTGATGAGGAGGTCTTTGGTGCTGAAATGGCTTTTTGGCTGTGGTATATTGTGTGTGGTGGCTTTGATTCCTGTGCGTTGGTTGTGCGCCGTTGACGCCTTTGTGTCAACGGCGCAACAGAAAAGAACAGAAAAGTTTAAGCACATGAAGGACCGCAGAGCGTCATTCCTCTTCAAAAAGTGATTCACATTAGCGACTCTATTGATCTAGGTGGAACTTATAATATGGTTTGTATATTGTTTGAATAAAAGTGGAATTAAAGTAATGCGTAACTGGCGATACCTGTGTGTGTGTGTGTGTGTGTGTGCGTGTGTGTGTGCGTGTGTGTGTGTGTGTGTGGTGGACACAACGTCACGTGGGCTCTCGAAGGGAGCTGTTCACCTGTCTTTGGTGCTGAAATGGCTTTTTGGCTGTGGTATATTGTGTGTGGTGGCTTTGATTCCTGTGCGTTGGTTGTGCGCCGTTGACGCCTTTGTGTCAACGGCGCAACAGAAAAGAACAGAAAACTTTAAGCACATGAAGGACCGCAGAGCGTCATTCCTCTTCAAAAAGTGATTCACATTAAGCGACTCCATTGATCTAGGTGGAACTTATAATATGGTTTGTATATTGTTTGAATAAAAGTGGAATTAAAGTAATGCGTAACTGGCGATACGTGTGTGGGTGTGTGTGTGTGTGTGTGTGTGTGTGTGTGTGTGGTGGACACAACGTCACGTGGGCTCTCGAAGGGAGCTGTTCACCTGTCTTTGGTGCTGAAATGGCTTTTTGGCTGTGGTATATTGTGTGTGGTGGCTTTGATTCCTGTGCGTTGGTTGTGCGCCGTTGACGTCTTTGTGTTTTTATTATTGTCACGCTGTGTCGATCTTGACTATTTGATATTGTGAGCTCTTGAACACTGACATTTGGTGGCGCTATTGGTATGATAATATATGTCGCCAGATTGACATTGTTTGTGTGAAGACATCATTCAGCTGTAGTTTTGTCGTCAAATGTGCTGTGGTCCTCTCTCTCACTTGCTGCTGTATTTTTGTTGTGAGGGTATGAGAGAAATATCTGTTATTTCCGGATTGCATAATGAGATTTTCCTGCATGGCCCCACCAAAAAATACACAAAACACGTGTAATTCCCGACACAAACGTGTAAAACCCGCCACTAACAATCTTTTTTGTATTTATTTACTTGATAAGATTGAGTAAGCGTCGAGGTCTTCACTCCACATCCGTGTCGATTTGTTGTTTGCCAACCACGAAAATAAACAGTGAAGAAGGAGAAGGAGACCTTTGCGCATGCAGTCCGTGCAGGTCATTTCATCGTCTGCGCAGGTAAGAGGACCGCGTGTGCATGAGTTAAATGCTACATGTCTGATCATACCAGGGCTCTCAAGTTTTGAACTAAGCTTTGAGTCAAATTTTCTTGTATTTTTATTGGGGGGGGGGGGGGTTATCTTTTGGATCATCAGAATAACATTGTCATGAGTATCATAACTTTAAAAAGAATATGAGAAATGCATCTTTTCTGGAGAAAAAAAAGATGGACTTTGAGGGAAATAGCTGGAAATGGCCGTACAGAGGCTAGATCCATTAATGCAGCTGTTTATAGCAATCGTATAGGGCTTTAGTTTATCATGTGAGTCTATTTGCCATGAGGTGTTGAGGCCTCTGCAGGTGTAGGTCACTGACTTGCTGTAATGATTGACTATTTTTCGTGCTTACGAAACCTGCTTCATCACAGCGGGTGTCCGTCTCCAAAATCTACCCGGATACAGCAATGCTACCTTTTGATTGGCTGTTCGGTAGCTATACTGTATTTGATTGACTTGCGGGTGGCGCGCAGCCTCTTTTGTCTCAGGGGAACGGACTTGGTTTATACCTGTTCCATTGTTGATAGGTTGCAGCTTGCAGGACGTGAGACTTGAGAGCCCTGTCGTACATTATCAAATGTTTGTACATATTTCCCTGTGTTCATCGCGACTAGGTAAGGTAGAGTTATTTTGCTCTAAATTCTGTTAAAAAATATATGATTAGGTAGTTTTTCCGATATCGCTAACAAACTAATTATAGCCTCCAAGCAGCATCGTGAGGCTGAACAAACCACCCGTTATAAAACGAAATGCAGTATTTTTTTAAAGCTAGTTATAATGTAACATCATGCAGAAATGAAAAAAATGTTCTCAAATAGAAACATGTCAGTAGCAAACCAGTTTATTATCAAACATTAATTTTTAAAACAAAACAAATTCAACTGTGTGTGTGTGTGTGTGTGTGTGTGTGTGTGTGTGTGTGTGTGTGTGTGTGTGTGTGTGTATGTGCGCGTGTGTGAGACAGAAATGCATGAAAAAATATTTTAAACGTAGAAACACATTGAACATGAAACTATGGACACTATTTACAAAGCTGAAATTGCTGTGATGTTTTTGCCCTTCACAGTGGCTTTTGCTTTGAGGGGGCCCTCCTGTAAGGCCTCATCATAAGATGGCTCCCACAAGGCCTTTGAAATATGGAGAGTCTCCCCACCCTCCAGAAGCACCTCGTAAGTTGCCTCTTGGGGGCCGCTGCTGGATGTGGCCCCTCCCTCCGTGAGGACACCAACAATAATGAGGTGCTGGCTCGCCTGCTGCCTCTGTAGACAAATTAAGCAAACACAGGTAAGGAAGAAGATTATTTGGAATAAGTTGTGTTTTCTGTAACAATGGCCCAGTATTTCTTAACCCTTCCGGGATCTTCGGGCTTTTAACAGCCATTTGATGATAAAACTAGAGACTAATTTGGATATAACTTTTGTCTTACAGCAGCAAATGTGATGAAATTTTTTTTTCTAAGCTTAATTTGACATTTTATTTGAAAACATGAATTCAAATTTTTCACCAGGTCAATAATAAAGCCAGGACAGGAAAACTTCCTTTAAAGTCCCTTGTGGCTGTTAAAAGCCACTTGTTTTGTCGGCTGTAAATTCATATTGGATTAATATTTTTTTCAGATTTTTTTTCACAAATCTCTTATTTTACTTCTGCCCTGTTCGAAACTAGCAATTGTTTTATTGAAAACAATTTTTTTAACCCTTTAATTGCCAATTTAAGACAAAAAGTCACAAATTTAGCAAAAATTGAAGGAAAATGACCCATTTTTTTAATAAAACATGATCAGAAACTGGTAATCTCTTGCAGGGTATTAAAGTCTTGAATATGTCAGAGATTAGTAATATAATTTACTTACATGCATTTTCAGTTTTTCTGTAGCATCAGATTTAATGAAAAACTGCCTTTGGCGCCTCCCAGTGGCAAAAACTACTTTGTCTGCTGTAAAATCATATTGGATTGATATTTTTTTCAGATTTTTTTTTCATACATCTCTTATTTTACTTCTACACTGTTCAAAACTAGCAAATGTTTCATTGAAAATAAAAATTTAACCCTTTAAGGGCCAATTTAAGACATAAAGTCTCTTATGAAGCAAAGAGGTCATTTTTTGCTTCATAAGAGACTTATGTCTTAAATTGGCCCTTAAAGGGTAAAAAATTTTATTTTTAATGAAACATTTGCTAGTTTTGAACAGGGCAGAAGTAAAATAAGAAATGTATGAGAAAAAATCTGAAAAAAATATTAATCCAATATGATTTTACAGCAGAAAAAGTAGTTTTGGCCACTGGGAGGCGCCAAAGGCAGTTTTTCATTAAATCTGATGCTACAGAAAAACTGAAAATGCTTATAAGTAAATTATATTACTTATCTCTGACATATTCAAGACTTTAATACCCTGCAAGAGATTACCAGTTTCTGATCATGTTTTATTAAAAAAATGGGTCATTTTCCTTCAATTTTTGCTACATTTGTGACTTTTTGTCTTAAATTGGCACCTAAAGGGTTAAAAAAAATTGTTTTCAATGAAACATTTGCTAGTTTCGAACAGGGCAGAAGTAAAATAAGAGATCTGTGAAAAAAAATCTGAAAAAAATATTAATCCAATATGAATTTACAGCCGAAAGAAAAAGTGGCTTTTAACAGCCACGAGGGACTTTAGAGGGAGGAAAATCTAAAGGGCCAGGAAGGGTACATTGTGAGTATTATTGTCCTGAAGCCCTGCCCATCCTGAGGGTACAAAAGTGTCAATACAAAACTTCCACCCACAGAAATCGTCCCTGCCATTAATTCAGTGCCCCTCAATGAGATGGCTATACACAGGCAGACAAAATTGTTGGTACCTTTCTGTTAAAGAAAACTAAAGCAACAAAGCTCACAGAAATGACTTGAAATGAACAGAAGTAAGAATGAAATATAATAAACAGAAAATTAACTATTGAAATTGTGACATTGGATTTGAATTTTGGTTTAACAGAAGTACTTTTTAAAATGTAAATGTATGAAACTGACACATTTAAACACACTTAAAAATCAAGAAAACTTTTTTAACAAAACTGGCATGGATAAAATTGATGGTAACTTTAACTTTATACTATGTTGCACAACCTTTTGAGGCGATTACTGCAATCAAGTGATTGCTGTTACTCTCAGAGAGACCTGTGCACCTGTCCATAGGTGTTTAGGTCCACTCCTATTGAGCAAACTGTTCCAGTGGTGTCAGGTTTGAAGGGTGTCATCTCCAGACTGCATGTTTCGGCTCCTTCCACAGACGTTCAATAGTATTTAGATCAGAACTTGGGAAACCACCTCAGAATAGTCCAGTATTTTGTCTTTTGTCATCCGTGGTCCTCAAAAAGGACAATGATCAAAATCACAGCTAAAAACTCTCAGGAGGGACGCAAAAA